TGTTCTCCTTAGCCTCTCAGGAATGCAATGCTATCTGTACCACCTATTCCAAAGCGTAACCCCCACAAGAGGATGCTGTGATTGATTTACTTCTCGATTTATTGTCATCATCATCATCACCATCATCATCATCATCATCATCACTGTTATTATTATTTTCTTTTTCTTTTCTTTTTCTTTTTCTTTTTTTGGTTAAATAAAGCAAGCCTTCCTTCGTGATTCTCCTCCTCTTAGGACAAGCCAGCTGACCAGTAGCTAGTGAACAGTTTGGATTCTTCCTGGCAGGTGGAGCGGAAAGACGACCATTCTTCTATTTTTGAAAGCCAAACAGAAAAGAAAGAAGAGCCAGTTGGGGTCACCACTCCTGTCCCAGTGAGTTGAGTCATGCAGTGCTGTGGTCCCCTGGAAACGCCCCATAGAGCAAAAGAGACTTCCAATCTAGCCTCTCCTTGGAAAGCTTCCATTCACCTTAGCAATAAATTAAGGGATCTGAGAGTGGAAAGAAGAGATGTGATCGGTTTCTCCTCTAGGGCAGCAGGGCAGGTCATCCCCACTTCCCTTCCCCTGTTGACAGTGACAGCGTCGCTCATTGCCTGCCCGTCCGGCAGCAGGAAAGTCCAAGGTGTGACAGAGTTTGTTGGTCTGGTGTTAAGTCCTGCCAGAAAAAGAAAGGGGCTGTGCTATTTGACAGACTAACGGCTACTGTTCTTTATAGCCTCCTTTGCAGCAATAATCAGGGGAGTCAGGCTGGACAACGGCTTGGCCAGTTTTAAAAACGGGTGCTAGAAGGAAGAAGAAAAGAATTCATCCATTTAGGAACGATGATGGTGAGACAGGTAAGTAGAGAGACAGACACATCTGGGGTCCATATGTCAACCTTCTCCATGATAAAATGAATACTACTTTTCCCTTCCCTGCAATCATGGTATATTCCCTTCTCAGGTTGTGGTTCTCTTTTCCACTTCTTAGCCTACATTTCGTGGTTAATTAAGCCTTTGAATTAACCGGGGCCTTAGGGTCTTTTCTGGATTCCTGAAGCAAACTGTAGAGGACATAGGGAGTGGCCTTGAAGGAAAGGAGGAAGAATTGCTACCAAGGCAATGGTCAGATAAAAGAGGCCTGAGCCCAGGGCAAGAATGTAACATGAGTAAATGTCTCAGACAAGCCCCTCCCTAGTTCACACTATGATAAAGGGAGGGAGGAGGAAGCACCTTCAGACTTGCAAGATTCTGTTACTACAGCTTTTCCAATAGTAGTTTTAGACTTATATGGCATTTGTTTTCTTGGTCTGGTCAATCTTATAAGTTGACACAAACTCACAGTTCACCACCATCCTGCTGGTTTGCATCAATGGGGTTCATAATTAAGAGGAGAACAGACATTTCTTCTTGTTCTGTTCCCCAACACTCTTTATGGCTCTAATTAGTCTGCTCTTTTTTACGTACATCCTACCTACTAGAATTCACATAGCCATTCAACACCGGCAATTGTTGCAGAATCAGCCCTTGTGTGAAGAAAATTCACACCAGTTTGTATAGCCTCGATTCTAAATTTAAATCAGGGGAGGACTCTATTAAGAGTCTGATGGAAAGGGAGTGTTGCTTTCCACCCCATCCCACAACAACCACAGCACACCCTGAATTGGGCATACCCTCATTATCCTAGATAAGAATTGGGAAACCAACCAAGAAAAATGGATCTATATGCATTCAATGTTAAGCTTTTTCTCCCCAACATGCAAGAGGAATTATGGAGGAAAGGATTCACTTGTTCCTGTGCAGGAAACAAATCACACACAGAGACATATATGATCTAGAGCTAAGCCACGTTTGCATTAGATTCAAAGGTGACCAAATCACCCCTTCAAAGAGGATCTCAATTCATCAAAGAGGATCTCCTGAATTCCTCAATTGACCAAACATATCAAACTGAAACAGCTATCTTTGAACGTGTGGAGGTTTAATGGACTTTTCTGCAGGTTTACGCCCCCTTTTAACAAAGATTCAAATCAAATTTTTAATCATTTTTGCCAGGAGATCAGTCTGCAAATTAAAATCACAACAAATCAACCTGGAATGCAAATGTGACTTAGCTCCTGACCTCATCTAAACTGACAGCCCCATTCAGTTCCCATATTTCTCCAAATTCATGGCAACTGCCTCCCTCTGTCTGTGTCCCCACATAAAACCAATGATGCAGGGGCATGGAAAAAAAGATCAAGATGACACCTTCAACCACACACCTTGATCTTTTCATCTTTCCCCCCTTCCCCCATGGGTCCCCCTGCCTTGACTTATCAAATCTGAGTAGCTATACAAAGGAGCAAAATTTATGAGTAGCTTCCACGTCAGCGCTGCACTGTCAGAGAGAATCTCCTGAAGAGCTGTATTTCATCAAAAGATTTTGCTCCTTTTAGGAGGAGACATAAAGTCACTTAGGAGGAGACATAAAGTCACCCACCCACCCACCAAAAAAAGGAAAAGCATACTTTACTTCTATCCCCTATTTTTTCTTCATTTACCTGCAACAGTTCTTTTGCAGACCCTCGCCTGTCAACATCCATCTCAAGGCAGCGGTTCAAAAAGTCCCGGAAAACAACAGAAAGTCTTTCTGGATTCTGGAGCTCTGGAGTCCCATTGGTGGCTATCAAGTACAAGGCCTAAGAGATAAAAGAGCAAATTGAATCAATCTCTTGAAGGCAACTTTTCTGCTTTCTCTCTCTATTTAGGTAGACATTTGTATCCCTCTCCTCACACCCATATTCTTCTTCTCAAGAGCAGCTTTGCAAACACATAAAAGCAAAATACAATCAATATAATTTTGAGAAGGGCTGGAATAGGTGAGCTTTACTTATCAGAGCAAACCAGGTTAAGAACCAACTGCGTATTATAGCTGTGCAGAGCTTCAAAGAGGGGTTGTTTTGTCAGGGTTTTGATCAAAACATCCCTGTTTCAGTCAATCGATCAAAGGGACTTCTATATCCTGCAACAATAAAGGGGGGTTCCAGTAGTCTTGTGGAGCCAATTTCTTGGACATGAAAGGGCTGACATCAATCTTGAAAGTCTAACAGAGTTCACACACACACACACACACACACACCCTTTGTACACAAGAGAATCAAAGTGGGACAATCTTGAGTTTCTTTCTCACCCCCTCTTCTCTTTCTGGGCCAAGCTGGTGTCTACATAACTTTGAAGAAGGAATGCAAGAGCTGTTATCTCCATACCCTTCTACAGTGGAGAAAAGATACAGGAGAACTTTCTAGGATAGACAGCTAAAAACATCTGTCCTACCTAGTAAACACGTTGACTGTGCTGTTCTCCATCCAAATGTACAGTCAAGCGAATTCCACCACACTCTAAAGTTTTGGAATGGCTCAAGCACAACAATGTAGAACTTTGATCTTACCCTGAGAGGATTTTCATTGAGATATGGAGGTTCTCCTTCTACCATTTCTATTGCCATGATTCCTAAAGACCAAATGTCCACTTTGGGGCCATAAGCTTTCCTCGTGACCACTTCAGGAGCCATCCAGTAAGGAGTCCCCACCATTGTACTCCGCTTACTCTGTTCGGGAGTTATCTGAGCACAGAAGCCAAAATCAGCTGCAGATAACAGAAAGCAGAAAGGACTGCTGGAGAAACCACACTGATCATTCAGAAATGGCAGAAGGTACAAGCAAGGAAGCAAGAAGGAAGGGCTTCAGTAAGGAGAAGACTCACATTCATATTAAACTTGATATATAAAAGGAGCTCAGAGGGGAAAAGCAATTGTCAAAGATGAATGTAAGTAAAATGTATTATCCACACTATAAGTTTGTATACTCATACTTCAAGGTACATATGGCTTGGCACTAAAGCATCTTCAGGATCTCCATCCAGAATCAACCAAACTGACCCATTTGTCCCAGGAGAAACTGCTGGTGATTCCCTATTTCCATCAGATACATAGTATGAAGGTTTATAGATGGTACTTTTCTAGGGGAGTACCTATATTTTGGAATAGTCTCCCACTTGAACTAAATTCCTTTGCTTTGGCTTTATGGAAGCTCTTGAAAACAAAGCTGTTCCAGAGAACCTAAGGTGATGCACAATACCTAGAAGGCATGAATGTACCAAAGTCTTTGGGTTTTATGATGTTATACCTAATTAATTCCTTTACTATGGATTTTTTAATGCTTCATTACTGTAAACAACCAAGAGTATTGTAAGTGTGGCTGTAATATGTTTAAGTACTCTTTTAGCACTATTTCCTGTTGATACAGATACACCCAAGTATGTATCATTTTACATATTGCCCACTCTTTAGAACAGAATTTAACTGCAATCGTTGCTGTCTTAAATTTCTTAAATTTCCCTTCACTTTTAACAACGGTTCATTTCCACCATATTTAGCGATCCATTAAGCTTTGGAAATCAGTGCTACTAGGCATTAATTAATTCTTTTATAGCTACATGATCTACCATAGTAATCGATTTCAAGGATGGGTGAAACAGTGCAAAACAATGATAAAACAAAATAAGGAATACAACAGCAAACATCAAACAAAATTAAGACCAAGCTAGTCGATGAAATCCAAATGCTTGAGTGAATCACCGGGTCTTCAAATCAATGATAATATCCAGATGGCTGCATGCAGGGAAGGCCATCTCATAATTCCAGAGTGCCAGACTGTAATAGGAAGAAGGAATAACCTTGAGGACAGGAGGCAGAGCCGCAACCAAGACAATGGTCAGATAAAAGAAATCTGGGTCCCGGGTAGAAATGTAATTTGAGAAGACATCTCAGATTTAATCCTCCCTAGTTCTCTTTAAGATAAAGGGAGGGAAGGGAGAAGTGTATTCAGACTTGCAAGATTGATGTCAGCCCTTTGAGGTAGACTAGACTAGGAAACCAAAGTTATGAATGCTAATACTACTTTTATTGTAAGGTTACAGTAACAGAATCTTACAAGTCTGAATGTGCTCCCCTCCTCCCCTTTTATCTTAATGAGAACTAGGGAGGGTCTTGTCTGAGTCATTTTCTCAGGTTACAGTTCTGGCCCAGACTCAGATTTCTTTTATCTGGCCACTGTCTTGGTTGTGGCTCTTCCTCTTGTTCCTCAAGATTATTCCTTCTGCCCATTACACAGATTCAATATACACAGTGTATATGTGACCATCTCCTATGTGATTAGTGATATTCATATAAAGATGATGAGATAAACCCAACCGAATCTCTTTCATGCTGTAACTAAACCTTCAAAGAAAAGATGGTTTTATTTTTATTAGTGGAAGGAGATTTTTACCACCCTCTTCTCAGAGAAAGCAATGGCTCTCAAGGCAGGACAGACACGGCAACAACAGAGAGGATACTTACTGAGTTTCACAGATCCGTCCATCCCAAGAAGGATGTTGTCACTCTTGATGTCTCTATGAATCACTTGGTTTGAATGCAAGAAATCCAATGCTTGCAGGCACTAACAACAGCAACAGTAATACAAGAACGTATTTTAAAAAGGGAAGGGTAGAAGTAAAGAGCAGTGTTCTGACTTCACAGGAGAGGCACAGGGTAGTCACCCACTGGGGGAGATGGGCGGCATACACATTTAATAAATAAATAAATAGTACTACTTTCTAAATAAATGATGTTGTGGATTATATGAGGAAGTGAAGAAGCTCTGCCTAAGAATATACTTCAACTTTGTCCCAGTACCATTTCCTTTCCTTTTCCCACCAGAGGGAAAAGCCATTTTTCAAAGTTCTGCTCCACAACCACGCAATGCCTCAATTTCACCCAATCAGAACCCAGAATCCTGGATGTGATTGTAGTCAGAGAGCTTCCTCTTCAAAAGTAGTTGGATGAATCATGGTCTCTTTGACAGTGTTCCTCCTCCTCACTCCAATATGTCCGGACAGAGTGAGGAATGAAGGTGGTGAGGCAGGAATCAGCAGTTCCCAGGTCAAATAGGTGGGGCTGAGCAGCAATAGTAGCAATAAGGGTTTTCTAGCCACGTCTGAAGCAACATCACTTTTGTTTTCCGCTGGACAGCTCCAATGCTAACTCAAGTCTCCACAAACATGGCAGGACTGGCAGCAGAAGAGCACTAACATGCATTTTGGATCTGCCTCACCAAGAAATATGTATATTTCCATTTTGAATTTCACTCCACGCCCTGAACCAACATGGGGTTGTGGTTATAATAAATATTTATATGAAGACAAAGTACTGTATGAGAACCAGTTTGGTCTAACACAGTGTTTTTCAAACTTGGCAACGTTAAGATGGGTGGACTTCAACTCCTAGAATTCCTCAGCCAGCATGGGTGCTTGAAGAACACTGGTGTCTGACTTCTAGGCCTGACTTGGGCACAGAAGCCAGCTGGGTGATTTTGGACCAGTCCCTCCCTCTCAGACCTAAGAAGAAGAAGGCAAAGGTAAACCACTTCCAAAAAAACCTGTCAAGAGAACTGCAGGGACTTGTCTGGGCAATTGCCAGGAGTCAACACTGACTTGAAGGCACAATAATTGGGAAAAGCCCTGTATATTAATTACTGAGATGGTTTCCTTGAAACTTATGCGTGATATAACTAGCAGGACTGATAACTTCACTTCTGCTGCTGCCCAGCAAATATATTCATTGGGGAGGAAGGCAACTAGGTATCTAGTTTGGATAAGTACACCTCCTTTCCAAAAACCAAGATATCCTTCAGATTTGTGCCACAGGCACCAAAAACACAACAAAAATGAATACAAAAATCCATTGTCCATCCCATCCTCCTTTCTCAGCACAATGGGATGCTTCCTATCCAACCAGGGAACTATAGTTTCTAGGTTCAAGACAAACCAGGTCTTAAGCCATGGTCTGAGTTTGGTCTAGGATTTGATTCTTCTGAATTTGTTAACCATAATTTTCTAATTCATGTCATGACAGCTAGTGTGGTGGACTTGGACTAGGAACAGAAACACCCAGGATCCCATCCCCATTCAGCCACTGAAGCTCATTGAGCAATTTTGGGCGAGTCATCTTCTCTTAGCTCAAGAGCCATTATGGTGTGGTGGCAAAGATACTGGACCAAGAGTGGGGAGACCCAGGTCTTAGTCCTCTCTTAAGCACAGAAGCTGGTTGGATGACTTTGGGCCAGTCCCAATGTAGAAAGTAAGGAAGATGACCTTGACGTAGATATGCAAGCTCCATTAACAAAGCCACGAGGGGTGAGACACATCTTAAACCCAAAACAAGCAGCAAGTATGGAAGCAGTTCAGACAGATGCTCCCTAATTCACAGGAGTATAAGAAGAGGAAGGAGGTCAAGCACAACCAGACCTGCAAGATGCTGTTATTAGAGCCACTCTCAATAAAAGTAGTGTTGGCTTTCCTGTGGAGTTGATTTCCTGGTCTGGTCTACCTGGTGGGGCTGACACTCTCCCAAGAGCCATTGTGAAGCTGTGGGGAAGGTGCTGGACTAGGAGTGGGGAGACCCAAGTACTAGTCCTCCCTTAAGCACAGAAGCTGGTTGGATGACTTTGGGCCAGTCCCTCCCTGCATCCTAACAACCAGTCTGGTACAGTGGTAAAAGTGCTGGACTAGGGTCAGAGGTCCCCTCTCAGCTATTGAAGTAAATTTTTTTTTACTCATTTACTGAGTAAATTTTGGTCTGGTTTCTCTCTCTTAACCTAACCTACCTCACAGGGTTTTCATTATGGGGAAAAATAGGTCTCGTACTGCGCTTAGATATAACCCCCTATCAAAATAGTGCAACTGTGAGAAACTAGGGTTAAAAATTACCAGGTTAATTGCAATGCCTTGATAGGTATAGTGCACTGGAACAAGAAGAGGTTCATTAGTATCCTAGTTTAGTCAATCAAGAAATTGTTGTTTAAACTAGGTCAGCACAAAAGTGAAGATTTAGTTCATAATGAAGATATCCACTGCTATATTTTCAACTCTTACCTCCCTGCAGACAGCTGCAATCTGTCCTTCATCCATGCATGTTTCTGTAACCACATCGGTCAACGAACCCCCAGCCAAGTATTCCATTACAACCCAAAGTTCATCCCCAACAAGGTAACTGAAACAATAAAATATAGGACGTATTCAAACAGTTACAGCACATACTTCACAGCAAACCATTCTGAAGATAGCAAACATTTCAGGATAAGGTTCTCTTGAAAGAGATTTACAATAAAATTACAATCCTATGGTGCCAGAAAAAGGCACTTTCTAGAAGTTAAGAAGCAACTCACTGAAAACTAGTATAAACTTTTCAACAATAAAACATCAGAAGGAATCTGGTATGACCCTTTCCTTTTTTAAATAATAACTTTATTAAATTTTAAAAACAGAAAGATAAAAACTAACCAGAATTAATAATCAAGAAAAAGAATAGAAGAAAAGAAAAGAAAGAATAAAGCAAAGCAGAAATGCAGAAATGCAGAAATGCAGAAGGAAGGAAGGAAGGAAGGAAGGAAGG